TTCAGGTGTAATAGCTACCTATAACAATATCCAGAGTAAGAAAAACATCACCTAGGAGATCAAAATATCTCCCTATAAAGGTGATGTTGGAGAACATGAATTACCTCGGTAGCCAAGTAAGCTTACTAGTAACACTTTGACCCTGATTTTGGCAGACTTATCCAGTCAGATACTTGTGTCTGTCTCTCAGTTATTTCCAACTTGAGCAGGATTTAAAATGGTGTTATGTATTAGCCCCTAAAACCTCATTTCTAGCACCAGAAATAGCCTAACTTGGATGTCAAGTGTCTTCATTGGCCATAACAGTACAGATGGTACCCAAGTTTTTTCCTTAAAGAATGATGAGCATCCCAAAGTCCTGGCCAGAGGATGAGCCAATTTTATAACAACCTAAGCAGACCTTGCCCAAGGAGATTGCCTTATCATCAGGCAAGACTCATGATGTCTGAAGAGGGTCATCTTAGGTGATTGCTAGGATGGTGACTCAGCCACCCTCAGCATATCTCCTTTGGAATCCAAAGAACTTGGTTGAAAATTCTATTTGGCTTTATTACCCTCCAACCAGAAACATTGAACAAGTCACTCTCCTTTCTGAGCCTCTTTTATCTTGTTTATGAAATGGAACTTTGGTAACCAAGTGAAATAATGGGATAATGAATGTAGAAACTTGGTGAACTGTGAAAAAATATGAGATTGTTATAATAAGCTTATGTTCTAGATGGGAAGACTGGATGTGGGGATGTGTTAAATTAATCCATTGTGCAAGTTTTCAATGGTACAAAGGAGGAGCCTTATAGATGTATATAATAGTCAGGTTAATTGAATCATGGAGCTCAGAAAAGGCTTCCCCTACAATGGGATGGTTTTGTTTTGCATATTTTATTAAGGCATAATCTCAAGTAATTTTGACAAATACATACACCAGTGCAACCATCATCCTGACCAATATGTAGAAAATTTCTATCATCCTAGAAAGTTCTCACATGCCCCTTTCTAGTCAATAACTCAGGAAACCACTGAAACTTATCTGATTTCTATCAATATATATTACTTTTGCCTAGTCTAGAATTCTGTATAAATAGAATCATATAGTACATACTTTTCTGGTCTCCTTTCTTTCAGCATTACGCTTTTGAGATTCATCCATGTCATTGCATGTGTCAGGATTTTATTCTTTTTTTATTGCTGAGTAGTATTCATTGTGTGACTATACCATAGTTTATTCATCCATTCACCTATTGATAAATATTTGGATTGTTTTCTGTTTGGGGTATTATAAATAAGCTGCTATGAACAATCTTGTACAGATTATTTTGTGGACACATGTTTTCATTTCTCAGCATAAAGGTGCTTAGAATGGATTAAATTTGACTTAGAGAAATGAAAGAAATGAGCGTTTCTTGTATGTGACCATTGTGGTTGCAAATTCATGATTACCTGCTTACCACATATGGAAGAGCAGACTTGCTGGGTGGTGCTAGGCACTCGTTTGAGGTCTAAGACCAGGAATTTAAAATGAAGTCATTCAGTCTGTGTGTGCTTTTTCTCTGGTGACATTCAGCTGCTCAGGTGCAGTTATAAAATCTCATCTCAGGTGGTAGTGTTTAGCCAGGTTGTGGTTTTCCTAAGAAAATATGTTGAAAATTGAGGTGGATAAGGAAATGATTATAATGACAAATCATAGGTCATAGGCTCTACGCTGGGCCAGAGGGAGATGAAGAATGGACAATGAAAACTGGTAGGATTAATAGATTAGAGGTCTCAATGAGGTTGAAGAATTATAGCAAATGGGGCCCTAGCACATGGGATTGAAAGGATAGGAGGTGATAAATGGAGAGTGAAATACGGAGCCCTTTTAAGGCTAATTAAAGTGTGGAGGGTGTAAACTTGGAAGGGGTGGCTCAGTTGCGGAGCATATTGTTGGATGTGAGATCATGAAATGACTGAGAGGCCAGGGTATTGAACAGATCATCAACATGTATGTTGAACTCACCCATGAAGTTAAAGGTTGGTGCTAGGAATTGGAAAGAGCAGGGGAAAAGATTATTTTGGGAGGTCAGAAGATGGGAGCAATCAAGATGGGCAGGGTGCTAGACCTGAATGGCAAGAACTTCAAAAGAGCAGAGATCTTCAAGGGAGGGTGGGGGAAAACCATTAGGAAGTTCGAAGTCAACTCTGCCAACACTATTTTAATTTTCATTGACATCCTTCCAATGGCTGAGTGGAACACACCAAACAAAACCACTGGAAGTCTTTCAATGTGGAATGCTTTATTATAGGTCTTGCCACTAGGAAGTGCTGTCAGTACTGGAAAGACTGGAAGGCGGACCAGCAAGCAGTCCCTGGAGGCCAAAAAGTGTCTCGGCCTGAGCACTGAGGACCCCTAGGGATCTTGTGAGATATTGGAGCTCAGCCATCTTTCACAGCTGCATTTAACTGTAGATATTTTTAAGTGTATTTAAATCTTAAAAAAAAAAAAAAAAGCGCCAAATTCCTAAATTCCTTTAAAGAAGTTACTGAGTTATTGGAAGGTTTTAGTTATCATGTGTTTTCCCAACCAAAAAGTTCTAAAAGTACAGCTACTATCACGTAGGATTTGATGACATTTTCTCCTGGGTAAAAGGATTACTCATAACTTTGGGTTTTGAGAGTTGATTGGTAATACCATACTTAAAAATGTTCTTCCTGTATTACTTTTTGTAAGAAGCATGGCATAGTGCTCGAGAATACTAGAGTTGGAGTCAGAATTGTAGCAGCAACAATAATATTTATTATCATTATCATCAACATTTGAGTATTTACTGTGCACTAAAAAATAAGTGGTCTAAACAATGTACATAAATTCTCTCATTTATTCTTTTTATGAAGTAGGTACTATCATCAGTCCTATCTGACAGATAAATAGGGTCCAGAGAGCTTAGGTCATTTGCCAAAGGCCATATAGTTTAGTAAATGGTGGTAGTGGTGAGACGAACCTGGATTTCATCTTTCCCTTAATCAAAATAGTCCAGGTTATGCAGTAGGAGAAAACACCTCTGAATCTCAATAGCTCAGCTCAACAGACACTACCTATTCTATGTGGGTTGGCAGAGGCCTAGGCTATTATATTAACTCATAGACCCAGGCTGACATGTTTCATTTTCACACATGCTTTCATCATCAGGATCAGGAGTCCCCAACCTCTGTGGCCTATTAGGAACTGGGCGGCACAGCAGGAGGTGAGCAGCAGGCAAGCGAGCAAAGCTTCATCTGTATTTGCAGCTGTTCCCCAGTGCTAGCATCACTGACTCAGCTCCATCTCAGATCATCAGGCATTAGGTTCTCATAGGAGCACTGGTCCCTCGTGCCAAAAAGGTTGGGGATCATTGAACTGATTACCGCGAAGGCAAGCGTGTGCTAAAGTGTAACTGGAATGAAATGTGTTTGCTCGAAAAGGATTCATGTCACTTCTCACATTTCACTGGCCAAAACAAGTCACATGCCCCTCCTCACTTCAAGGGAGAAATGTACTCCTGCCATGAGCCTTGAAGGAGGCAATCCAGACTATTTGGTATTAATGATTACCACAAACACGCAGGCCCTGGCCAGGTTATGTTCCTTTAAGCCTCAATCTCTCTACCCACAAAATGACCATAATCATTTTGTAAGGATCTCTTGTTGTAAGGATCAAATAGAGATGTTAGTTACCAACAATAAGGCAGAGTGGTTGCATCTAACCTCAAATTTCTCTGAAAAGCCTGGTTCCATCACAGGTGGCTCTGTGCCCTTCATACAGAGCTGTCTTTGGAATGGCCTCTGTCCAATACGAGAACCTTTCTTACACACCTGAGGTTGTGAAGGATATAGTTTTCATTTTAATAAACAACATGCCATAGTTGTAGTTCCAATGCAGGCCAGAAAGTTGTCTGGAACCATCAGCGTTTCAGTTCATGTTTAAAGCTTGTGCCTACTTAGGCTTGAGCATGTGAGGGTCATGGCGAAAATGCCTTCCTTCAGGTTCTCTGAGCTTTCAGGTCATCAAGATAGTTTACTTGGCTCCTCTCAGTTTCACTGGAATGACTCTCCCCAGGATGTCTGCTCTGAGTCAAGGATGAGCTAAGCCTCAGAAACTCCTTTGCCAACCAAAGAATGGTAGTGCTGAGGAGAGGACAAAAAATACCCTTAAAAAGAGCAATTCCCAAACTTCCACGCAAAAAGTTGTGACCACGCTGCCAGAGCATTTTGCTGGCTTCTTTCTTATGGGTTGTTTTGCTAGGTCATTTGTCTTCTTCCTCGCTCCTCCGATAGACTAGGTTGTGAGCTTCGTGAGTGAGGAGCATCTTTACATCTGGGTTTCACGGCAGATGTGAACAACCTGGTACAAAACAAGTACTCAATGAAGGTTCACTGTATGAAAATGCTTCTGAATAGTCTTCATATGAATTAACACATGATGATTTCCTTGTAGAATTTAGTATCTAACTAAACTCTAGCAATTAGGCTAGTTGATTTTATAAATCTAAAATAAGGCTAAAATGGGGGAGGGGAAAACAGAAGAGCGAGTTAAAAAAGGACATTTCAGGCGGAGGGAGCAGGTAGAAAAGTAAAAGGTAATATCCAGCATGGGGAGTGCCGCACTTACCATGGAAGGTTAAAACAATAGGTTAAAGAGGAAGGTTGGAGCTAGCTAGATACGGGACAATGAGGGGAAGGCGAGAAATGGGACGTGGTGCATCAAATTCCGCAGCCAAGAACTCAAACTGCAAAGCAGGACGGGTGGAGTAAATACATTAGGCTCCTAAAGCTTCCTTTTATTTAGGCGAGCTCCAGTTCACAAAGGGATTAGCGAAAGCAGACTTCGCACTTCCCCCAGGCCAAGAGAGCTGGAGGGACGCCCCCTAACCTCGCTCCGTCACGTGGGCAGAAGCGCCCAAGGCACGTGACCTACCTAGAACCTGGCCAATCAGTTTCTGCAGGGGCGGGGCCTCGAAGTCCAAGGGGCGGGAGCATCTGTTGAGGTCGCTTCTTCTCGCGAGCCTTGCCACCATCACTTTTCAGCCGCCCACGACCAGGAGCTAAGGTCTCGCGAGGCTTGGGTGTTGCGGCGGTAGGAGGAGGACGGAGAAGGACGGCGCTAAGCCACCGCTGCCTCCCTCGCTCACTCCCTCGCGCGCTCGCCCGCCCCCTCCCTCCCTCCCCTCCCTTCCCCGGCCCCGGCTCCGGCCCTGGCCCATTTGCTGTTCATTCTTCTACTGGGAGGATGTCGGGCTCGTCTCTCCCCAGCGCCCTGGCCCTCTCGCTGTTGCTGGTCTCTGGCTCCCTTCTCCCAGGGCCAGGCGCGGCTCAGAACGGTAAGCGGGGCGCCGGGGGCGGGTCGGGCGGGGGCTGTGGAACGCCGGCGGCCGTCCGGGGCCCGAGGAGGTGCGAGAGTAAGGGGAAGGGAGCTGGTGGGTAGTCTGAGGGACTGCGGATCTAAAGCGAGGAGAAGCGGGTCGGAGTTGGAGGCGCGGGTGTGAGAACGGGATTCGCCAGTGTGAGAGGTGGGGGCGTCAGATAAGAGCCTGAGGTGTATTGCTGACTTAGAGGCGCCACATCGTGGGGCTCGTCGCTCCGAGTCGGGGACACTCAGGAAGCCGACGTGAGGAGCTGGAGTAGCGGGGGCGGATGAGGAAGGGGCGCAGCTATTAAGACAGCAGGAGACCGGCGTTTGTGTTTAAGGCGACGGGAAGTGGTGTTGTCAGGGTCCCGGGCATAGGGGTCGTCTAGGATTCTACTGGGGCCCTGTAGGACTGATGACATCCTTAAAATATAGAGGACACGTTGTGGGTAAAGGAGTCCTGGAGAAAACTGAGCAAGAGCAAGAGTACTGGAGCCCTAAGAAGGGGGTGAAGAATCAGAGAACCTTGGATATAGAGGTAGACGGAAGGTGGGTGGAAAGCTAAGGTAGTGGGTTGACTGCAGTTGGGGATCTGGAAAGGGAAGCAGCAGTGGCTCTAAACGACATGGGCGGGGTGGGGGGGGGAAGAGGGCTGGGTTTGAAGAGGAGGGTGGAGTGTTGGGCATTCTAGGGTAGTGGTTGGGAGAGCAAAAGGGAGTTTCTAAATAAGGAGAGGAAAAATGAGCAGAGGGATGGGGAGAAAGGGTTGAAACTGAGGTAGGGGTAATATTTATTAGAGAAAGAAGGGTGCCTGGAAGTAGAGATGGAGGTGGGGGAAGACAAAATAAACGAAAGGAGTGAAATGCGGGAAGCCGGGGTCTTAACGTTGTTTGCAGTGTGAAAGATATGTTCGGGAAGGAAAGAGCTGAGTTGTGGCAAGCGCTGTATGATATTGGTTGGGCCTTTGGGAAGCCAGGGGCACATAGCTGGAACTGCAGTGATGGGATTGAGGACAGTGACTGGAGAAAATGGGTTTTTAAGATCTAAAAGTTTCAAGACAAAAGAGATTATTTCTGAGGAACATACAAGTAATCCCTGCCTGGGATGCGTGCAGTGTTCAGTGAAAACGAGAGACTTAGGTTTTGAATTCAGGCTCTTTAGAGAAGATGGAGAAGTGGTGGGGAATCATGGTGATGGGGTATCTGATCTAGACGAAAAGATTCTGATTGTTGAAGGCATTTGTTACGGTTCAGCTGCTGAATTGATCTTTCATAGGTGAGACTAAAAGTATGAATTAGTTTCTGCTCTTGTGGAAACAGCCTTTAAGAGATTTAAAAAATATTTTTATAGTAAAGAATTTATAAGAAGTCAGTACTAGAGAGTGAACTATGAAGTATTTTTGCTACTTCTTCAGTGTTTCTTTCTTGTTATGCTAGAACAATTTGAAATTACTCCTGTTGGAATATCTGAAATTTTAAATGACTTTCATTTTTAAAAAAGTCAGTGATAGAGCTAATGGAGTTAAGCATTCTAAGGCGAATCCATGCTTAAATTGCTGACGATTACAGTGAAAATATATCAATAAAGGATCGAAAAAGCACCATCAGTTAAATATGTGTTTGTTATACCAAATTGTACCAATCAAATCCTGTGTGTGCTTCATGGCCTTGAATTATCACTGTAAGGGTCAGAAAGGAAACATTTTTCTGTCTCTAGCATTTAATGTATGTGAAGTATATTGTGTATTTTTCCTGTTTTCCTCCAAAGCATAGGCCACTGTGGAAGGCAGGGTAGAGCTAGATTGATTTGTCTTAACCAATTAACCAACAGTCTGTTTTGACAATATGACTTAAGCCTAATACTAATTTTCAGCTATTCGATTTGTGGAAATAGCATGGTTTCATTTGGCACCATAGGTGAGAGGTTCTTGATCTTAACACTAATCTCTCTGCTGGCATAGCATCTTTCAGTGATTGATAATACAGTGAAATTGTAGTTTCTTAGCAACTAAAGCAAGTTTTTTGAATAGGCCTTCAAAGACTCATCTGGTTGTTTTCAGTGATATGTGTTCCAAATACAGCATAGTTCAGCCTTTTCCTTGAAATGAGCTTGAATTCAGTCACATGACATGACCGGTGAAGTGAAGCTGAGCTTGTTGTTGACCTAAATGAATGTAAATTTAATTCAAGGAAGAAACGGTTATCATTTGAGTTTGAGTACACATAGATAAGGATGCTTTTTTATAGCTTCCTATAACATAATAAGATTCAAACTTTCATCTGGTAATAGCCTTATAGTAGTCTGACCTTGTGTCATGGAGTTTGCATTTTCTTACAGTGCTTCAGAAATGGATACCATGCTCTCTGTATGATATTGAAATGTTAGAAATGTTAGATTTCAAAATGATGACTTAAAAAAACCCCAAAACCTACATGTTTCTGGATTGGGTATGTGGTAGTATAAATTGAGTGTAGATGTTTTTCAAAAGGTCTCTATTTCATTATTCCTAAAATGAAGAATTTGGACTAGATGACCCTCAAGATCTCTTCCAGTTCTGTGACCTGTTATCAAGACTTTCATTCAGATAGATTTTGTTTCTCATCCAAATATTTAAACTTGAAGGACCACAGTTTCCAGTAAAATCCTTATGTAAAGTGTTGATTTTTGAATGTATCGTGAAAAATGTAGTTCATTTTAAAGGAAGAAACTTTTCCTAAAATGCTAAGACATTCAAAAGCTTTAGACTAGAATTAAATTGAACAAGTATAAGCCAAGCGGTATTTTATGGTAGTCAAGAGCGCAGACGTGGGATCCTGATAGACCTGGGTTTGAGTCCCAGCTCTCTGTAGCTAAGTGAACTTGAGTAAGTAAGGTGCTTAGTATTTCCAAGCCTCAGTTTTATCATCTGTGAAATGGGGTTTATAATAATGTCAATCCCTTGGGGATGATGCGAGGATTAAATGAGATAATGGCCATAAAGCACTTAGATTTCTGCCTGGCATATAGTGAGTCTCAGTTCAGAGTCCATTTTTATTATAGGTAACATGTTACTGTACTGTAACATGCTATATTACTGTATGTGAAAAGTAGCATTATTAATTACTTTTTTTCTTCATATATATATTGAACATTTAATTGTTAATGCTAACTCACTATTATCTTGAATGAAGTTAACTTCATTTGAAGGCTCCGAACAGAGAGATTTGCACTTTTGCACATGTAACTTTTTAAGAAAAGTGACCAGCAGTGCTGCAGTTTCAGATTTGGCAAGAAAGTTTGTATGTCCATTTCATTGTCTGGGAGATTTCATGGCTTTCTTTTTCTTTCAGTGAACTAAATATTTCTTCATAGAATCCCTTAGTTAATAGAAATAGAATGTAGTGCCTGGCACACAGTGGGAGTGTCGAAGATGTTAGCTGATGAATGAATGTGGAGTGAAGTGTAAAAATGTAATATTGAAAATATAAAGTTGGATAATAAACACAGTTTAGTGGGAGAAAAAGAAAAGTCTAATCAATTTTATTATTAATGAGCTAAATTTTAAGAAACCATTTTGCTTGGGTGATACTAGATAGCTGTGAGCATTGTGTTTTTAACAATGTCAGTATTTGCATTAGATAATACACACGTTTTTTCTTTTCTGTCAGGTGCTGTTTGCTTCAGTGGTTTGGCAGTTTTCTCTCCTTGAGTACATTTTTAGATGTGTATTTGCTATTGTGCATTTCCTCTTTGGGTGAAGTGAAATGAGTAACAGAAGACATGTTATCTATGGCAGCTGTGCACAAATGACATGCCAAATGTCATGCAAGAGATCTTAACATAATTAACCCAAATAAAAATTTAAATGAAGAAATAGTTTGCCTTGGAATAAAGCATTTTCTAAGAAGATCATAAGCCTCCAGTCTCTCAGGCAACTGACCAGAGTATCACTACTGACATAATGGAGCACCCAGGCATGAGAAACTTTTCAGGGATCTGGAGTAGAAAGGCCGTGTTACTACATCAGGACCTGTTGCTGGGCTCTTAGTCTTTGTTTTTCAAGGTTACTGGATCCAAATTAGAAAGAGATGCAGATGGGATTTTATGTTGCCAGACATAATATAGCTTAACCTGTTAATGTACCAAGGTTTAAAACAACAAAAGGAAATAAAAGCCCTTAAATATAAATGTACTCCACAGTCCAAACATTTGCCATAAATTAGGATTGAGGTTCATTACAGGCCTTACTTTGTCTGAGTTATACAAATCTCCATGAGAAATTGGACTATTTGGTCTTGAAAGAATTCCTTTATTTTTCTCATTAATTCAGTTTTTATGTGAAATATTTTCTCTTGTGGAGTATACCTTTATATATTAATAAAAAGCAAAATGTTATCCTATTGTCTTTATTTTTTACTAAATATAAATTTATTTAGTTTGAGGTACTTTTTCAAAATAAGATGTTTCATATGTAAAATCTGAAACTTTGCCAGATGTATGTAAAAGTTTTTTTAACAAGAATTTGGAAAGGAGATAAGATGCTAATATCTATACAAATGAAATGTGTAGAAAAACAATGAATGACTATATTAAATATCACACAGATGTTCAATAAAAATTTGAATAAAGTTATGCAAAGACATTTTAGCAGAAGTAAATTCTGTGAAAAATTTTCTGATGCATTCTATTTACAGTGAGAACACAATCTGGACAGCATCAGAAATAGAGAATGAAGTTGTAAGAGAAAAGGAAAAAGAAGAAAGTCTACAGTAGTACAAAGAGAAAAGCAGGAAGCAAAAATGAGGAGCATCTGGAAAAATAGAATCTATCAGAAAGAGTAAATAGAGATCTTTCAAGTACATTCACATATCAAAATTAAAATAATAGTGCAAAATCACCATTGTGTGAACAATTGGCTTGGCTTTCACTGTGCTTCTTTAAACAAAACATCATTTTACATGAATTTATAAAAATGCCATTGATGGTATGGAGTTTAATTTTAAGCACCTTAGATAAATGCTTTTAAAATTTGTGAGGTTTTTGTGGATTTTTCTTTCAGAATTCCCAATTTTAGTTGGTCCTTACCAACGAAATAGTTTTAGGGAGGCAGGAAAACTCTTCAGTAAAATTAGTTGATTATAGTCATAAACTTCTCACTGAATTTAAAGTGAAATACTTTTGTGATCCAGTGTAAAAACATTATTCCAGTGGAGTTGATGTCTAAATTTAAAAAATTGAATACGTAAGTAAAATACTTCTGTTTCTCAAGAGTTTATTCAAAATTGTTATCTAAAGTCGAAAGTAGGCCTTTTTTGTTTGATTTTACATTTATACAAAGTATACATTTATTAATCAAACCTAATTAGATTGAAGTTATTTTTACTTGACTGCTCAGAGCTCTGTATGGAAATGGAGTTTATTGAATATTTAAAGAATTTCCTAAGTATCTACATTTATTTACGTACAGAAGATTAGTGGGAGACATAGTTAATGTTCCTCAGGCACTCTCTGGTTTTTTGTTTTGTTTCTTGTTTTTGTTAATGTTTCAAATTAAAAAAAAAACAACAACCCAGTCTTATTTTTTCATTAAAGCAGACTTTGATGGAAACATCTTGTGTTAAGTTCCTTGTTCTAAAAAGTACTAAATGGTATTCTTTTGCATTTCTGAAAATAATCATAGAATGTTTTAAGACTAGTTTTTCCAAGTGATCTTAGTTACTAGAACCTTATGGTACACTTTATGGTATTTTCCAGTAGTATTTCACTTTGGATATGCTTTGCTTCACTTCGTTTTATCTTGTTACACCCAAATATTGCTTCAGATTGATTAAACTATGAATTATGAGATGATGTGAAATCACTTTGAAAGTATTAGGGTTCTATATATTATATAAGGTTCTATTATTAGAAAACAAATTACAGATTGTGGCAATAGTTTTAATCATATCCAAATGTATATTCACATTCTAAAAATGATTAAATATAAAATACAAGACAAAATGTCAAGTCCTTTCTGACAGAATACAGGGCAAAATGTTCCATATACAGTAAGATACATTAAAAAAAGGTAAGAGTGTGCTTGCATTTATAAATTATAACATTGATCCTTCTTTTCTTCCTGATAGTAAATGAAAACCACTAGACTAGATGATGTCTAAATTCCCTTCCAATTCTAAAATCGCAGAACTCTATTGATCTTACAGCTTAGGTACTGCCTCTGATGGGTAAAGGGCCTAGAGAGAGAATACTTTGTTTTAATAAGTTTTTAGAAATTTACTTTTTGGAAATAAGGAAAGCTGACTTTGAAGTTTGCACTGTTTTGAAATACAACTAGCTGTAAATCTGCTTCAGACTACATTTGTAGTTCTTGTTTCAAGGAAGGTAGAATGGTATCTGTTATAGAGGTCTCATATTAAACTTGCCAGAAAAATTGTCAGATGAATTAAACAATTAAATGAAAATCACTGCCAGGTAGGTAGGTATTTTGTTCTCTCTGTTGGTTGAGAAGTAGTTGACTATTGAAGAGGCAATGAAGACACAGTGAAGCACACTTAACTAATTGTATTTTTATTTTATATTTTGAGGTTTGTTTTCTATTTATGCCTTAGTTTCTTTTGTCCCTTATATATTTTTTTGACTTCTAAACCTGTCCATTATAGTTGAACAAGGCAACACAAGCGTTATCTGGATTAAATCTGAGAAAGTTCCTAGATTGGTATTCCTTAGAAACGATGTGTCAGTCTCAATTTATATATTTATTCATTATATTTATTTGTATCAGGTAGGTTTATTTCCTTGTTTTCTTTTTTCTTTTACATTTTCGTTATAATTTCAAACATAAAAAGTAGAATGAATAATGTAATAAACTCCCATATAATCATTATCTGTTATCAGCCACATCCTTGCTGCTTGTTAATTTAAAAATCTGAAAAGTTAACATTATGAAGTAAAATTTTCTAGGTGCTGAAATATATTAGAGATTAGCTAATATTAGTAAAATAGAAATAATTTGTTTCATACGTAATCATGTTGAAATGACTTTAAAAATATAAAAGCTCTTTAGAAAAAAGGCTTTCAAACTTTTGTTTGTGACCCAGATAGAGAGATAGATTTTATTTGTGACTAAGTCTATGCAGAAATATGTAATGTTTTGTGAAACAGTATCTATCCTTACTCTGTAGTGTATTTAAAGAAAACTGTTGTGACCTTCTAAATTGATTTCATAATTTATTGGCTATGAGACTCATGTTTGAAAAACAGCATTTTCAAGTATTGAGTAGTTTTGCTTTTTTGCTTTATTTTTTATCTGCCATGTAATCTGAAACAATCTGATGATTTTTGTAAACAATAAGGATTTTCATGAGGCATTTATCAGCAATATCAACATGTACTGTTACTAGTCATTATTAGTAAAGAAAATATAGCATTATTGAATTAATACCTTGGCTATTAGTTACATTGACTTTTTTTTTTTTTACCCTATTTGAACTTGGAAAAAAGAGGAAGCTACAGTAATTTGAATTTCATAATCAAAACAGAAGTTTTCCAATAAGTTCTGTTGTCCTTTCATGTTAGGATATATGTTCCTTATTACTTAGCCCCCTGCCTTTGAGTTATTGGTTGCATACAGGGGCTGGGAGCACACTATTTTTTCTGAGCTGAGTGCTTATTACTTTGATGCTGTTGTCTGAGGCACATTTCTGGTGAGTACAGAATGACTTGAACACTGGCCAAGGGTTAAGGGGGAGAGAGGGAAAGTAGAACCATCACAGAGGAATCATTTGCCTTTCATGTTTAAAATCCTAGAGAAGGTTATTTTCTTACTTTAGATGTTGCTTCTTAGAGGACAAAAAGGCAACAAGATATCCTGTGTTGGCCGCTATCTGTGAAATACTTTTCAATCCACAGGTTGAAAGAATATGCTAAATGTAATTAAGATTTTTTTGATTGATGGGATATGTTAAATTTTACTCATAAGTTTTTGATTCTACAAGTTTAGCAGGTTGGAAACCATTGTGGAGCAACTGGGAAAAAATAGCATAACAGTTCCAGCATTGAAATTATATTTGTTAATGTGGAATTTCAAATCATTCACTAAAGAGGATGAAATAAATGTCCTTAAGGCAAACCAGGAAACTGCTACCTGGAAAAGAGCAACTGTAAAGAGGTTTCAAATAACTTGCAGTGAACTGTCATTGAATTACCTTTAGACAAAACAATGATCACATCAGAAGTGTGGTACTATTAACAGTATAATTGTTTTCTCCCTACTATTGAACTCGAAATAATCATGAACACTTTCTAACCACATTTAGGAAAAGATGCAGATAATTCTACATTGATGATAGCCTAAGACTTAAGAGAAAAGCCTGAGCAGCTAAATTTAGGGAAAGGGAGCACTAGGGGGATGTGATTATCTATTTTAATACCTTCAAGGTATCAGTGTAAATGAAGTAAGGGAATTAGGCAGTCTCCAAAGATGGATGGGCTGTATCAAAGAACAATAGCTTAGAGCACAGGGAAGAAGAGCATGGGTTTAGTATTAAGAAGATCATTTTAATGAAACTAGCAGTATAGTTATTTGCACGCACTCATTGTCAAAACCATTATAAGTAGGGCAAAGAGCTGGTTGAGAGGGACCTCAAAAGAAAAGGGAGAATCTCTCTCATCTGGTACAGTCGTCTCTCATCTTCGAGGGTTATGTTTCAAGACCCTCAGTGGATTCCTGAAACTGTGGACTGGTACTGACCCCAATATATACTGTTTTTCCTTATATGTACATATCTGCAATAAAATTTAATTTATAATTTAGGCAATGTCATGGATAGAATATTCATACTGTAGATTTTTACAACCTCGGCATATGATTTTTTCCCCTTAAGTTGAGAACTTCCACCTTTTCACTTAAAGAAAGCACTTTAAGGCTTCTCTTTGGCATATTCGAATTGCCAGCACCACTATTCTTGCACTTTGGGGCCGTTATTAAGTTAAACGGGTTTCTTGAACATGAGCATTGTGATACCAGAACAGTCCATCTGATAACCTAGAAAGCTACTAAATGATCGATGGGTTGCATATATATATATATATATAACATGGATATTCTGGACAAAGAGATGCTGAGAGAGTGAGCAGAATGGCTCGAGATTTCATTACACTACTCAGAAGAGCTTGCAGTTTAAAACTTATAAATTATTTATCTCTGGAATTTTGCATTTAATGTTTTCAGACTGCTGTTGACCATGGGTAACTGAAACCATAGAAAGTGAAACAGGGATAAAGGGGGACTACTATACTTGTTTAAGAGCTCAATAGGAGAAAAAACCCTTTATGGAAATGAATATGAAATGAAATGGGCTTTCCAGAAGTTTTGAAGTCAGAAATTTGTTTCTAACTCTAAAGCTCTATGATTATGAATTCAAGAAAAAGGTAGATTAACTTTGGAATTCATTAAAATAGGATTCTGTTTATTATAACCTTCATAAACAACTTCTTTTTGTTTCGTTAACAAAAACCTACACTATGAATTATTTTCAATCTGTGTGTGATACACAGAAGCATAAGCTTCATAAAAGTTTATTCACTAGACTGGATGGAACCTGGTAAAAGTTTAACCTTTGGCTTTTTGAAATTAGGTTTTTTCTTTTATATAGTAAATGTCAGCTATTAAGAAAGCCTTATCGTCTGGCTCCCCAGTGCTCTGCTCTCATTCCCAAGACATGTGCGTTGCTCAGCTGGTGGCTGCGGCCCGAGCGCTCTGAGTAAGTATGCCTTCTCTGCGCGCCCACTGGCCGGCTGGAGCTTGTGAGCCTGGGCTCCCTTCGGGGCAAGGTGCTACTCTTTGAGAATATGGCGTAGCTCTGAGGCACAACGGTCCAGGGCTACACCCAGATGAACGAGCTGCAGCAGCGCTCT